CCCCAAAACCCCAAAACCCCAAAACCCCAACTTAGGTTAAATGTTTTTAAATATTTTAGTATTAATTTATCACGAAATGGGTTGCAAAAATACAAAGAGTGTGTCAAAACCGATACAAATTGAGGTCAAAAGTGCTATTCTCCTCACCCCAGCTATCATTAGGAGGAACTTAAAGACGGAAATACTCTTCAACAAGAACAAGATCAGGGAGATCTCTGAAAGTATTACGATAAAATAAGGCTGAATATTATACCATGAATAAAAGCAAAGCTAACGAAAAGAAAATTAGGGAAATACTTGAAGAAATTCAAAATTTAGAAAGCAAGAAATTCATCAAAGAGACTCATAATATGATTCTTGATTTACACCTAGATACTGCTGCTCCTGGATGATATCCTAATCAGAAGTTCTACAAGAAATTCAGAAGTAGAAATGGAGGCATGTCTAAATGCTCTACTTTGACTTCAACCAGACTCTACTCAGAGACTAACAGAAGTGCCAATCTCAAAGAGATTACCAACCTTACATGTACTGATTTTAATCGTCTGAGAAGTAATCCTCTTGATGAAGGAAAAACAGAAGGAAGATGGCTATATTTTGGAAGGTTGGAATCGATAGCAGACGAAGAACCTGAAATTGCTTTTGAATCTTAAATTATTTACCATAAAATGAAGATAAAGTTAGTGATCCAGAAGGATTCGAAATTAAAAAGAAACCATGCATAAAATATGATAAATTTAATACACTTTAATGGGAATTTTATTTTAAAACAGTTAAATAATGCTCTGGTCAAATGTGTTACGATCAGCTTGGGATAAACCCTGCAATTATTAACTTTGACGACCTGATTTCTAAGTCTAAAATCTTTCAGAACTTTAAAATTCTCCCCGTTGGTGCTTTAGAATGCCAAGCTTAGGTGTATTTACTTTACCTCCTTAAGAAACTTCTCTAATATATCTGAACCTGAAAATATCTGAAAAAATTAATAAGTTACTAATAATAAGTTATTATAACTTTAGGCTTACACTAATTTTGATGAAGCTTATTCCCAAAATATGAAGGATTTCACCAGGTTGGGTGTCAAAACATTTGTGCAGATATCTAACCAGCTAAGGATTACTTTCCTGATATCTAGGGCAACTAAGAATCTGATTTTCTGTTATTAGCATTTATGAAAATTCACCTATAGTATTTTTATTGTGGGATATTTAGAAGATACACAAAAGCTCTAGAACGTTCCTATCCCGATGATTTAAGTATAGTTCTGATTCTGTGCAAGAATAAGCTTCCAATGAAAGTGAAGACTTGCAGGGAAGAAAGAAGGATTTTAAATTTGAATAAAAGTTAACGAAAGTCCACTGAATTTTAACGGAATTTCAAGATGTAGTTAAGATTAATAACTGAAAATTTAAGGGATAAGTTTAAACTCTGAGTTAGTCACTCTTTCTAGTATTCCCATTTATTGGTAAAGTTGCAGGAATCATAAAAACATTTGTTGGGTTAAAATTTTAAAACTGAAGATAAAAAGAAGACAAGCTAAAGACCCAATTCAACTCATAAAAATCTCTTACAATATCTCTGTACAAGAAGGGGTTTTGGGGTTTTGGGGTTTTGGGGTTTTGGGGTTTTGGGGTTTTG